AACGGTCATGTTTCCGAAAAAACGCTTAAACACTTATATTTTATTTTGTTTTTTTACATATTTTAAGATTTTTTAAAAATGTATACAGGGTTTTTCGATAAAATCTGGTCATTGATTAATCACGACCCTGCTTAAAGCGCTTGACGTAACAAGCTGATTTTTGGAAAACAGATTGATTTTAGGATATTTGATAAGAAGGAATCTTTCGAAACTCGAATTCTTAGGGGGTGAAACCACCCCTCAAATATTAGAATATTTTTTATTTAAAAACCGGTTAGTCTTTCGGGAAAACGCTTGGACACGCATAATTTATTTTGTTTTTTTACATATTTTGAAATTTTTTGAAAAATCATACAGGGTGTTCCAAAAAGTTGGGTAATTGATTAACCACAATTCTGCTTAAACTGCTTGACGTAAAAATCTTATTTTTGGCAAACCGATTTGGTTTCGTTTGTTGCCAAGTTATATAATCATATTGCCATATTGTTTTTTCTCATGCTGACATAAATGTGAGAAAATTTTATCCAGTTTTTGTGTTAATGGAAATTCTTGCTTTGCTTTATCCTCACCATTACAAATGATTAATTTGACGCGAACGAGGTCGCGGGTACACGCTAGTCACTCATATGTTTACATTCTTTAGATTTATATAGATGCTAATCGTATACAAACAAGTTATGAAAAATTATAATAATACCTGATAAGATTTAAAAAAATATACACCCAAATCTTTCATTTAAAGGAAACAATTGTAACAGTCAAATTTCCTCGCAACGACCTCTGTGTGCTAGCTCATAAACTATCGCAAATAACTATTATTTTTGCATCATATTTACTATAATTTTATTGTTAAATATTATTTTATTTAGTATTTTACCATTATGCAACCCGTTATACACCACGATATTATATAGCCACAGAATATTGTCACTGGATACCGCCCAGCATTAGAATTTTTGTCCATCTCTCTGAATCTTTGGTCATCACTTGTCCCTTGTCACTGTCAGATTAAATCAGATGTTTTTGGATTTATTTATCCTTTGTTTTGGTTAGTGAAATTTTATAATTATCAGATAAAATTTCGTAGTTAAATTGGTTATTTTTGATGTGGATCGCAGTGTGCAATTCGTTCATTTAATTGTGGGAATTTGTGGGTTTAGTTCGTTCATTGACCGGATATCGAAGATGGCTGTGAAAATAATCTAGAACATCGTTTTTTATTTATGCCTTTTTGTGAGTTGGACTAGTCACGATATATAGTTCTCTATCTATATCCTGGAGGGAGATTTCCGGTTGAAATCTGATTTTGTGAAGGAAATCGAATCCTTGCATCACTTCTTGTGTACTCCCCGACCGAGAATATCGTCGTGAAGAACTGGCTGCCGTTTCGTGAAGCATTCCCTGTTGGCGAATAGCAGGTCTTCGTAAAGAAGGATTAAGGCTTCCGAAACACCTTTGGTCAGAGACGTGGTTGGATTTTGATGATTGTATGGACCGCCGACCAATTTCCGTAATGGGATTAAAATAGCCTTTTTCCGATCGATATTCCGATTCCACGTGCCCAAGAAGTCCCCGAACAGTGCCAAGGTATGCTATAATTCTTCTGCCTATTCTAAGTCAATGCTCAACTGATTTTTGTTTATATTATTGTCTGGTTTTCGACTTTTTCACGCCCACGTGGTGTAGAAAGATTAGTTGAGTGTTATCTTTCTTAAGTCTTATTTGGTTGTTCGTAATTGTAGAGCAAGAAGACCGATCCAGACCGTACAGCACAGAACAGTCCAGAATTCCATCCGTTCCTGTTGCCCGTGTGTAGAGTTACCCGTTGGACATAATAAACCCTCGTTGAGGTAAAGTTCAGATTTGATTAGTCCTTCTTTATTACCTTTATTAACTCCTACACGTTGTGCTAGTCCTTGTTCTATAATTGAGGCACTTTTCTAAGACAACCAATATTATTTAGGGTTTTTTATGTTCACCATTTGAAATATCAACACCTACCTTTCACCTGTACCTCTGCTGACATCCGTGGGCTCCAGTGACAGTACACCGAGCTGCTGTACACCGCCTTAGCAACCCTGTAGCTATACGCCGTAGCTCAGCCGGAGGAAGTTTTCAAGTATATCACATCGAGTAGAGTAAGACTGTTTAGATTTTAGTTGGATTTAGATTTCATTTGTGTAAACCACCCTGTTTGTATCTAGTATTAAGTTAGATAAGGGGTTTTGACGTCATAGGTTTAGTTATTGCATTTTATTTAAAATTCCATTTTCTTTTCCAACCTTTCGATTTAAATAATTTCTTAACATATTACATTTTACATTTCATTCGTTTTTTTTAATATATATTTAACTTTTTAATATTTTAATAAATTGCTTAAATATTTTTAGTAGTATTATTTACAGTCTAGTCTCATAGTTAAGTTAGAGTCACTTAAGTTTAACGAGTTATAGCATATTTGAAGTTCATGGTAGTTACACTCAACAGTTCGAGGTTAGTGTTGAAATCTACTTAATAGTTACATCTTTAATGCCGAGTTCATAGAGTATAATCTCGTGGCGCCCTTTTATTAATATCTTTGAACCCCGACCACCCGGCTGTTAAAATTAAAAAGCTAGTGGCCTCTATGTAACTCATTCTGCATTAAGTAAACTTGTGTTTTATTGAACTTCAAATTAGAAAGGGCGTGGCACAATTACATATTGCATTCTAAAATATTGCAAACCTTGAATTATATTATAATAGAAAACTTTGAACGGGAAAGCTGTAGTAATGGCCCTTTATGTCCCTTAAGTGCTGTTAAGAAGGTAAGTTTCGATATAAATAATAACTGTTTATATATTTATAATTAATTTATTTTTGTTTCTTAAAATATTTTGATTAAAAGAAAATATGTAAAAGTTGGCAACGCTGTGCCGGTCAAGCTCAATCACGTGACCAAAAATGTATTTCATATGAACTATAAATACCTACTACTGCATAGTTAATCTGCTTATAACTAATAATTCCGAACAAGCATTACCATAAACAGGGTTACAACAAGCTAAGTTTTAACATAACATGACGTATTGCATGTACATGTAGAACTAGCCTGTTGCTACATCAAACAGGCAAATAGCATTGAGAGAATTAGCATTACTACCAGGATTATAATGTATACGTAAACGCTGTTGATAATGAAGGAATCTACTATGTAATTTCGTCTATTAACTTTATGCAAGTTCATCAGGGCTTATGCGCGCAGTTTTAGATAGACTATGTGTTAGCAACTTTGCAAATTTCCGGGTTTAGGGAACAGAGAGTGAATAGGTTATAAAAGTAAGATGAGCGACTAAAACACTTATTAAAATAAAAATGTATGATTTTAATAAAGTATACAGGGTGATTCAAGAGAGAAAATCTCCTTCTCTCTTACATTTTCATTTTAGGTTCACCGCGTTTTTGAAATATTTAGGTTTTTGTCAAAATACAGTAATAAGTTTTAATGCTTCATCTAGACGTATTTAAATTTTTAAAACCAAATATTGTAGTGATATATTTGTATTGATTGAATTTTGTGTTGCAATAATAAAAATTATACTACCTTATACAGAGGCCTAAAAATGTATTGTAAATAATTACCAGCTTTAAAAGGCAATAAGTGATTTAATTTAAATAGAACATATAACCCTGTATATTGTACGAGAATCAGAGGCATAATTTATTTGTCTATCAAATTGTATTATACCATTTTTTACCCATCTCTTCAATTTTTCTCAGAAAATGCATTTTCCTATAATTTAGACTTTATTTATCAATATACCTATGGAATATTGACATTTTTGATTATTTTTAAAGATGTAACAAATTTTTAAAGAGTACCAATACTAATATTGTCGATATAGTTTGTTTATTTCATTAAAAAAAACTGTTTAAATATATTTTTGTTAAAGAGGACCAATTAATATGATCCCAGTATTCAAACTACATTAATTGATTGTTTACATTGATTAATAATAATTGTTCAAATACTAAAAAACTGAATTTTGTATGTGTATTAGATAGTGTGGTAAAAAATAACACCTTAAAAATTTTATTTCATTTTTTCACGAATGCTTATTTATAACAACAGAGACGTTCATTTTCATAACTTATTATTATATTGATTTCTGATTCAAATTCACATTTATTTAGAATAATTTATTAACTAACACAATTAAGTATGTAATTAATTAATATTTGGTCGGAAGTAATGGTGGTATATTTAATTAATGGTATACTCTTTTAAAATAGGTTAATAATATTATCGTTTTTAGCACCTGTACATTTTGTATATTTGTTGCTTTAAAAACAATCTAAAATGTCAATAATATTCCATGGGTATATTGAAAAATTGGGTCTAAATTATAAGAAAATGCATTTTCTACGAAAACTTGAAGGGATGAGTAAAAATATTATAATAAAATTTGATAGACAATTAAATTGTACATCTGATTCTCCTAAAATATACAGGGTGTTCCATTTAAATTAAACATGTTATTGCCGTTTAAAGCTAGAAATTAATTAAACTAAATTTTTAAACACTCTTTATAAGGTAGTATTATTTTTATTATTGCAACACAATAACTGATCAATAAATAAACTTCAGTAAATATTTAGTATTAAAAACTTTGATACTCTTGGAGAAATGATGCCTTTAAATGTTTACTGCAATTTCACAAAATTGAAAATATTTCAAAAACGGTAAGTGTGATAAACCTCAATCAAATTTACCTTTATTTTAATCGTAGAAATTAAAAATGTAAAAGTATACAGGGTGTTCCATTTAAAAAAATACAACTTTGATATTTTTAATTTATTTGGGACACTCTGTGTCTTGTAAAACTATTTTTAAATTGTAGTTCTAGTAGTCCTTCAATGAACCCAAAACTTACAATTTTTAAAAATATAATCGTTTAGCTACAAATACCGTGTCATATATAGTGAACAACCCTGTATTTTTTTTGTGCAGATATACTCACCAATAAAAAACAACGCCTCCACGAAGACGTCCATGATGACAGACGGTCTTTCCGTTTCCGGTCTGAGGAAACTGGCATTGTAAGGCACAACCACCGCAACGTAGAACGTGGCTATGAGAATGAGCCAATCCCAGGCGTTCTTGAAGATGCCGTAGTGCGATATGATAAACCGACTCTTTTTGACAGCTGCTGTCTTGTATTCGGGCAGAGGTTGAGGCGTTGAACTAAGCAGATTCTGAAAATAAGAAAAATCTATATAAAAATAAACATATTTCTTTAAATTCAAAACATTCAATTTTAAGACACTCTGTATACATAAATGAAATTATTGAATTTTAAAATATTATTCGCAAAACCCGGGAGAGGGAAATCGGACGACGAACAGAGATAATAGGTGTTGAGTAATAGCTTTTAAACTACACATGTAGGTGGTGCCTCCTACAAATAGGAGTCATATTGACATCAAAAAAAAACTCCCAGACACCAATTTTCATCCAAATATTGACGTCACTTACACGAAAAAATCGAAATAAAAATGAAATTTCTACACCCTGTATCTCTCCCAACCAATTTCTACACCCTCTCACTCTCGCAATCTTTATTTTTATCACTATTGGCTTTTTTATTAAATGATAGAGCTTAAGTGAACACGAAAATGAGAGCTGTAAAATCGATCACCTTGTATATTCGATTTTATCGATAAAACACGCGAGTACAAATAGAAAAATCAAACTCTGGATAATAGGCACGTCCTTGCGAATGACCATGGTAGTAATTTTTGTTTGTTCTTTTGCCGGGTTTGCTTTGTTTACCAGAATTAATCGGAAATCCGGACAAAAAAGCCCAATAAAACATTTTTTTATGATTTCGGTTGCGTCTATATGCCTACTTTATTATCTTTCCAATCAATAATCAAGAAGTAGATAGATAGAAATGTTTGCAATTATTAGATTAAAGTTCATTTATACAGTTATCATTTTTAATGATTATCTTGGAAGAATAATAGTTAGAATAGTTATTTGTGTAACTAGTGCGAAAAGAAAATATTTGTTGCACGACGCGACGGCATGAGTTTTACAGCTCGAGACAAAGTCGAGAGCCGCAATCATGCTGAGTAATATTTACAAACAGAGTAAAATTACTACTAACAATGACACTATAAACAACATTATTTTACCTTTTTTGAGTTCATTTTAATTTTAATATCGCAGTTTGAACAATTCACTAAGGTAATTGATGGACAAACTTCATTTCCAGTAATCTTTTGAATTTTATTTTTATTTCACAGTACTGGTACTTGGTTTATCTTCCAGTATTTGACAAATTTGTAATAGTATGTAGTATGGCAATATACAATGGTAAGTAAATTAAATATATCTACATACAGTTATAGATTTTTTTAAATTAGTACTGCTAATTAATGCTATACTAGCTGAGCAGTTATTTTTTTTACGGTGCATGTAAGGAATTAAGGACGCACGTTGCGTTATATTAGCATGATCAGCAGACGATTAAATCTAATTTAATTTGTTTTTATTATTTCAGGTCTCAAACGGAAACAAACTGGGAATCTTGCCTACACCAAAATTATATAGCCGTTTCCTATTCACTACAAAAGAAGGAAAATTATGTATATAACACTGCCTGCTCCTGCCTGCTATTTGCTGAAAACCGCCAAAGATAAAATTATAACTGTAACAACTTAATATATACTATTAGATACTAGTCTTTTTAATATATTTTTAATTGATATCCGACATATAAGAACACTTTGTATGCTTTTAATTAAGTTGATTTATCGTTTATAATATGTTCAACCTAATTAAAAGCACACAAAGTGTTCCTTCCCCGCACCCCTCTCTTCACTTACTATTTCTTCCTCGGACTACCAGAGGCGCCCTTGTATAATAAAATTGAAATGCATTATAAGTTGCCTATCTATTTAATATTATAAGTTTTTTATCTATGGTGCAAACCACAAAACATCCCCCTTTAGAACTTTTTCTTTAATGGCCATAAGTGGGAGTAAAAGACCAACACCCGAACAAACACTAGAGGCGCCACCGGTCATCAAATGGTGTAAAAATTGCGAAAATTTAATCATCTAATTTTGACACAAGGGGTCGCGCTTAACTTTTTTTAATTTTATCTCAATATTCATTGTTCTCAAACTATATTATTAGACTTTGTTGTATTTTGTGAATGTATAAATGTTTTCTTAGTATAAAGTTGCATTATAGTAATTTAAATTATATTACATACATATTTAAGATTCAAATATTATGACATATATGTCAGTCGTCGTCTAAAATGTCATCATGATAATAAAAAGTTAGTTATTGTCAGGGGCCGGAAAGTGAAATAGCAAAAGCGGTTCCACCGTTTCCACGGAAATTTTATATAAAATAGTTCCAGCCTCGGGCGCTAGGTGGTAGTGCAATTAATTTTTAGGTTAAAAAGTTGCTACTAGTTATTGCCAGATGGCGTTCAATCAGACTTTTTTTTGTAGTTTCCATAGTTTCCAACGGCCATTGTTATATTATTGTCAAATTCTCAAAAAATATTGTCGTTGTCATAGCGCCAATCATAGTATTATCAAAAATAATTATCAAAACCATCAAAATGTTTTTCAAACTAATTTGTTATATGTGTTTTTATTAGACAATTCATTTTGTTTGTGGCCCTAAAAATATAATGTAAGTCATTTATTTTTGCTATCATTTAAGTACCTATTTATATTTACTCCATTTACAAAATTTTGGGCGTATTACGTTGGTCTTGTTTTATTATAATAAACGATGTTTAAATATTTGACTTATAATTAAAATCTTTAAATAATAAATAATATTTACACATGTTTGGCTTTAATTTTATTTAATAATTGTATAAATTATACTGTTAAATCTTATTTTTTACACATCACAACGATACTTGTTATTAGTATTGCTGAATTTGTGTAAAAAATAAGATTTAATAATCAAATTTAATTATATATTTTGGAGTAGAATTCAATAAATACGCTCATTTAAAAAGCCCGCGCTTCGATCCATTTAAAACAAGCCCTGCTCAATAGATGGCGCCACTTCTGTAGAACCATTTTTCAGTATGGCAGAGTCCATTCTTTTTCTAGCTAGGTATATTCTTTGGTTATTGTCAAAAGTAGTTAAAATCATGTTAAAATATTAAAATTTACAAGTTATAATTAGATATTTTATATTATTTCAACAACAAACACATAATAGTACAGCGTAATGTTGATATGCAGGACCGAAACAAAAAGTGCCGTTATATTTTTCAGTTTTCGTTGTCAGCCGCGGAAGTTTCAGTGATTTTAGTGTTGTCGGATATTTTTATTTGTGAAATAGAAATATTGCGTTTGCAAAACTAAAAGTGGAAGTTTTATTACAATCTAAGTAAGCGTTTATCCATTTTATATTTTACTTTTTTCATACCTACGACAAATATACATATATTGAAATTTTATCATTCGTTTTATTTAAAAAATATTAGAAAACAAGCTTGTAATCCTGTAACTGACATAATTGTTATGTAATATATTCCATTTAAATGTAATATATTACTTTACAATTAGAAAAAAATGTAAATTTAAAAAATATATTAAAAATATATACAGGCATTAAATGAAATTTTTTGAGTGCGAAAAGACACGAGAGGCGCTTTATTATTTACTTTCATTTCTTAACATGATAGACGAAGTTCTAAAGGGGGATGTTTTGTGTTTTAAAGTATAATCATTGGAAAAGCTAAAAGTTTGATAACTTTTTCTACTAATTGAAAATGTCTACCACTAATTTTAACGATTTGAATGCTTACTTTGAAATTAAAGGAACACTAATTGCACTAATTGCGAGGTGCTGAATGAAGCTGAACAAAGTGAAAATTTAAATTACTTAATAATAACGCTAAAAATAAAATGAAAACTTTTAACAATCAACGTAAAAATAGTATTTTTCTAAACCGTAAATGCTATTTTCGGAATATCAAACGATACGTAGAGTTGGCGTTTATAAAGAAAAAAAAATATGATGTAGGTAGAAAAGCACAGAAAATTAACACGTGTACTTCAGAGATAACATATAAAATACTCGTATAAAGTACAGAACATGTATATTTACACTACGAATATGTTTAGTTTGTCTGCTTTTGAAAGAAACTCCAAAATGCATTATTTATGATTAATGTTACTTTTTCGCATGTTCAATCTTTTGATAGAGAATTTGTTTCATGAAAGGATGATGCTTCCATTTTTCAAAATTTTTCTATTCCTTTTCATAAGTTATTTGGGATTTAAATGGAAGTAGTTTGGGTATGGAGTTTGTCGCCTCAGCCTGAATATCTGTTGCTAATTTACTTATTTCGTTTTGAGTCATTTCTGGCTCCAATTCAATCAGCAATCGACACGAAAGAGAATTAAGAAATATTGACTCAAAACTGAGAGAACAACTAAAGAGACAGCTTTATTTATTTGTCAAATTACATAGAAACCAGCGCCAACCCAGCAGAATATTTTTTCTACTTGTAATAAATTCATCGTACAAATTTTTTAGTAAAAAAACATAGCTTTTCAATACTAACTACTAATATAAACAAATACTAACTTTTTAATTAATCGTTAATCGTAATAGTATAACTCTATAAATATATAAAAGCCTCTAATATATTTTAAATAATAAATAATACTAATAAATAATAATGCATATTGTAATTATTTATCGGAAATTTGACCGCAGATTTTACCGCAAAAATCTACATATTAAATTAAATAATTTTATTCCAGAAAACACAGTTCAATAAAAATTAGAAATATATTTTTAATTATAATAATCCCAAAACATTGTACTATAAATACCGTATGATCGAAAAAAAACGGTCTCAAATATGGCTGGGGAATATAAATAAAAATAATAATATAAGAAATAAGAAATACTAAAAATTGACATAAAACTTGTAAAAAACTAACACTAATTATAGAAAGATTAAAAAAAGAATAGAACGAAAAAAAGAAGACACAAATCTATTTCCATAAAATTATTTTTTCTCCAATTTTTAAATGACGTCTAGGGCTTGGCCTCATCAAAATTTTCATCGATTGTTATTTCTCAGACGTATTCGACGCCGTTTTTTTTCGATCGTATGGTATAATTTCTTATATCATCAGATTTTAGAGAGTGAATATTTAGTCAAAATAAACTAAATTAGTATTTTTGATTGAAA